ATCTGGCACTAGACAAGGATGTCCTCTCTCTCCACTCCTATGCAATATAGTATTGGAAGTCCTAGCCAGAGCAAACAGGCAAGAAAAAGAAAGTGTATTCAATTAGGAAAGTAGGAAATCAAACTGCATCTATTTGCAGATGACATGATTATATATTTAGAAGACCCTATCATCTCAGCCCAAAATCTCCTTAATCTGATAAGCAACTTCAGTAAAGTCTCAGGATACAAAATCAATGTGTAAAAATCACAAGCATTCCTATACCCCAATGACAGACTTAAAGAGACCCAAATCAAGAACAAACTGCCATTCACAATTGCTACAAAGAGAATAAAATACCTAGGAATACCACTAACAAAGGATGTAAAGGACCTCTTCAAGGAGAACTACAAACCACTACTCAACAAAATAAGAGGATACAAACAGAAGGAGAAACATACCATGCTCATGGTTAAGAAGAATGAATATCATGAAAATGGCCATACTGCCCAAAGTAATTTATAGATTCAACGCTATCCCCATCAAGCTACCAATGAACTCCTTCACAGAACTAAAAAAAACCACCTTAAACTTCATATGGAACCAAAAGAGATCCCTCATACCCAAGACAATTCTAAGCAAAAATAACAAAGCCAGAGGCATCACACTACGGGACTTCAAACTATACTACAAGGCTTCAAAACAGCATGGTACTGGTACCAAAACAGATATATAGACCAATGGAACAAAACAGAGGCCTTGGAGGCAATGCAACACATCTACAACCATCCGATCTTTGACAAACCTAACAAAAAACAAGCAATGGAGAAAGGATTCCGTGTTTAATAAATGGTGTTGGGAAAACTGGCTAGCCACATGCAGAAGGCAGAAACTGGACCCCTTCCTGACACCTTATACTAAAATTAACTCCAGGTGAATTAAAGACTTAAACATAAGACCTAACACCATAAAACCCCTAGAAGAAAACCTAGGCAAAACCATCCAGGACATAGGCATAGGCAAGGACTTCATGACTAAAACACCAAAAGCATTGGCCACAAAAGCCAAAATAGACAAATGGGATCTAATTAAACTCCAGAGCTTCTGCTCAGCAGAAGAAACAATTAGAATGAACTGGCAACCAAAAGAATGGGAAAAAATTTTTGCAATCTACCCATCTGACAAAGGACTTATATCCAAAATCTACAAAGAACTAAAACAGATTTACAAGAAAACAAACAAACCCATTCAACAATGGGTAAAGGATATGAACAGACACTTTTCAGAAGAAGACACATTTGAGGCCAAGAAACATATGACAATAGGCTTATCATCACTGGTCATTAGAGAAATGCAATTCAAAACTACATTGAGATACCATCTCACACCAGTTAGAATGGCAATCATTTAAAAATCTGGAGACAACAGATGTTGGAGAGGATGTGCAGAAATAGGAACACATTTACACTGTTGGTGGAAGTGTAAATTAGTTCAACCATTATGGAAGACAGTGTCTCAATTCCTCAAGGACCTAGAAATAGAAATTCCATTTTACCCAGCAATCCGATTACTGAGTATACATCCAAACGATTATGAATCATTCTATTATAAGGACACATGCACACATATGTTCATTGCAGCACTGTTTACAATAGCAAAGACTTGGGACCAACCCAAATGCCCATCGATGATAGACTGGACAGGGAAAATGTGGCACATATACACCATGGAATACTATGCAGCCATAAAAAATGATGAGTTCATGTCCTTTGCTGGGACATGGATGAATCTGATTTTTTAAAAAGGAAAAACACTCAGGAAACTAAGAATCCAGGGACCTTCATCAGCATGATAAAGAGCATCTATGATGAACCCACAGCTAACATGTATCCTGGTAAAAAACTGAATGTGTTCCCCAGAAGGTGAAGAACACAAAAATGTTTGCTTTCACTGCTTTTATGAAGCATTGTTCTGAAAATTCTGGCTGGTTTAGTCAGGCAAGAAAAGAAAAGTCATCCCAGTTGAAAAAGTAAATAAATCTGTCTTTATACACAACCATGATCACAGAATAGATTTGAGTAAACTCTAACCTGTGGGCCAGCTTCTTGTCTTTGTCAGTGATCACAGCTGTGTTCAGTAATGTACAGGTTGTCTATGGCTGCTCTCATACTACAATAGCAGAGTCAATCAGCTACAACAGAGACCCCTTTTTCCACAAGTCTTTAATAAGAAACTACTTTAAGAAAAAGTTTGATAGTCTTTGGTCTATGTAGAATATCCGATCAAATCTTCCAAGAATGTACCAGAACTAATAAGTGAGTTCAGCAAGATTGGACTATGTAAAGTCAACATACAAAAACTATTGTATTTCTATATATCAGTGATAAACAATCGGAGTAAAAATTTTTAAATATCATTTATGTCTCTGTCAAAATCTGAAATACAGAAATATCTGACAAAACACAAGAAGACCTATATACTAAAAACTACAAAATATTACTGAGGAAATTAAATATGACCTATATAAATGCAGACATACACTTCTTCAGGAGTAGGAAGATTCATTATTGTTAAGATGTTCATTCTCCATAAATTAATCTATAAATACAATACAATCCCAACCTTATGTCCAACAAGCCAGTAGGCCTTTTTAAAGTTGACAAGTCAATTCTAAAATTCATGTGGAAATGCAAAGGTTCTAGTATAGCCAAAACAGAACACATAACAAAATTGGAAAACTGATTTTGAGAATTAATATAAATCAATAGTAATCAAAACAGTGTGCCACTGGTATAGGATGAACATCCCTTATTCAAAATGCTTGGGACCCAGAAGTATTACAGATTTTGGATTTTGGAATATTTGCATATATATAAAATGATATCTCTAGGAGATAGGACCCAGGTCTAAATACAGAATACGCTTATTTTTCATACACACCTCATACACAAAGCCTGAAGGTAATTTTATTTTATTTTAATTTTTGAGATAGTGTTGCCCTGTCACCTGAGCTGGAGTGCAGTGGTGAGATCACAGCTCATTGCAACTTTCAACTCCCAAGTTCAAGTGATTTCTTGCCTCAGCTACCTGAGTAGCTGGGAGTATAGGTGTGCATCAACATGCTTAAGTAATTTTTGTATTTTTAGTAGAGATGGGGTTTTGCCATGTCGGCCAGAATGATCTCGAACTCCTGACACAAAGTGATCCTCCTGCGTCGGCCTCCCAAAGCTCTGGGATTATAGGCATGAGCCACCGTGCCTAGCCTCTGAAAGTATTTTTAAATATTTTATAACTTTTTGCATGAAACAAAGTTTGTGTATATGAGCTCAGATATGGAACTTTCCACTTGTGAGATCAGGTTGACAATAAAAACACTGGATTTTGCAGCATTTCAGATTTGGGATTTTCGAATTAGGGATGCTCAACCTATATAAAGTCAAATACAGACAGTTCCCAACTTAAGGTGGTTTAACTTAGTAACTTTACAATGGGTTTAACAGAGTATCACTTAGCTTCTGACTGAAATCAGAAGTAACCCTACCATAATTTGAGGAGCATCTGTAAATTAATAGCATTCAATAGAGTCCACAGGCAAATAGATGACATACAGGCAAACCAGTTTATTTCTGACAAAGGCAGGATGGCAATGTAGTAGAGAAAGGATAGCCATTTCCGTACATGGTGCTCAAACAACTGGCTGTTCACATCCAAAAAGTTAACTTGAATCCATATACCTCATTCTACATATAAAAATGAACTCAAAATGAAGCATGCATTTAAATGTAAGACCTAGAACTATGAAACTTCTAGAATAAAGCATAGAATAAATTTTTTGTAAAAATTTTGAGAAAATTACTTGTGCTAGGCAAAGATTTTTTAGATATGACATAAAATGCAAACTCTGTAACTAAACAAAGTTCATCAAAATTAAATACCTCTGCTCTTCAGAAAAGACACTATTGAGAAAATGAAGTCAAGCCACAAACTGGACAAAATGTTCTTGTAAAGTAATAGTGTCCAGAACTCTTAAAATTCAACAAGCAAGGAAACATCAACCTAATATTTTAAATGGAAAAAGATTTGAAAACACAGTTCACCAAGGAGGATATACAGATGGCAAATAAAACATGGAAAGATGTTCAACATGTTTAGTCATTAGGATCATGCACAAAATCCACACCCACGAGAATACTACAAATAAATACTGAATACTTAGTGTGACAACACAGCAACTGAAGCTGTCCTATTCTGTTGATGGCAATGGAAAATGGTACACATGTTTTGGAAAACAATTTAGCAGTTTTTCTAAAAAGGGAACATAAAGCAGCACAGGACACTTTTGTGGGTGATGGATAAGATAACTATGTTCATTATGGTGATAGTTTCACAGGTGTGTACACCTGTCAAAAAACTTATTAAGTTGCACATCTTTCATATGTGCACTTTAACATATATCCACTATACCTCACTACAGCTAAGGATTGTAGGAGCAAACACCTGGGGCACTGGCTGTGACATGGAGATAAAGAAGGATATGAAATGATGCAGTATAAAGCTAGAGTACTGACATGTCTTTCTTATAGCAATGACAAGTGGCAGCTGGGTGTTAAGCAAGCAGGTAACATGATCAGATGTAAATTTTTAAAATGTATATAATTATGGTTGCAGAATAGACCATGGTTTCAGAAGGTGGAGCAGTAGGGAAAAGAGTTAAAAGAGTTATCACAGTATTCAACATACAAGATTATGACCTGACCCTGGGTAAAGGCATAGGAGAGAAGCAGAGTCAACAAATAGATTGGGAGTGTCATTCACACTGAGAAAGGTACAGTGGAACGATCACAGCTCTTTGGCTAAGAGTATACAAGATAGAGCAGTTCTCATTCTATGTTCACTAAAAGCATATTTCTGAGATGAACATTCCTATAACACATCAGTGATCTATGGTACAGTGCCAAGCAATGTGTGCAAACATTACTACAGCTTAGGGAAAAAGCCTTGTATTTATGCATTGGTCCTACCTTTACACTCCTTTCTATGTTGTTCAATGAGTAACATAAAATTCATATCATCAGAATAAGGCAACTCATCTTTCTCTGAGGCTGTTTCAGATGACCGAATTATGTCATCAAGGTCATCCTTGAAATACAGATGTCTTTTAACCTATAAAATAAATAACACTGTTTCAAAATGTCCATCAAATATTTATAGCATATATTCAATGTACACCAGTAAGAATTATTCATCTTTTTTTATGAGCAAAACCAAAGTACGTCTTAAAATAGTTAATAGACTTTGGTTAAAAGGGTACCTTTATGAATGGTTATTGCTGCTTTTTCAAAGCCAATATCTTTACTATAAAAGATTTTTTGTTTTTTTAAGTGAACTTTAATAAGGGATTTTCAACAACATTCTTGACAATTTACTTTTACAATACCTTGTTCTTTTTATTAGATGATTTCTTTGCAAGCCTAAAAACAAATACAATCAGGCAAATAGTAAATATGTAAAATACAAAGACTATAACTATTTTCTATATAAAAGCTCTATATTTATAGTTTCTCCTATTCATAAAGTTTACAGGTAATATTTCACAGGTGATGTAAAATACAATTGTTTTTTACAAGGGGATAAAGTAAACCGAAAGGTTGCATTAGTTTTCTGACAGCCAAAGAAAAAGAAAAAAAATATTACTTGCATTATTTGATAAAAAAATATATATATACACACACATATATATATATACACACACACTAGATTTTTCTCTTGTTGCCCCTATTTATTTATTTATTTATTTATTTTTTGAGAGAGTCTTGCTCTGTTGCCTCGGCCAGAGTGCAATGGCATGATCTTGGTTCACTGCAACTTCCACCCCTAGGGTTCTAGTGATTCTCCTACCTCGGTCTCCTGAGTGGCTGGGATTACAAGTGCCTGCCACCACACCTACTTATTTTTCCGTTTTTATTTTTTTTATTTTTAGTAGAGACAGGGTTTCACCATGTTGGCCAGGCTGGTCTTGAACTCCTGAACTGAGGTAATCCATCTGCCTTGGCCTCCCAAAGTGTTAGGATTATAGGTGTAAGCCACCACACCTGACCTTATTGCCCTTTTCTATACAAAGAAGCTTTAATTGGTACTAAGACTTATTTGATAAATATTACTTATGTAACAGAAACCCTTTTTAAAATGATGACATTAGTGAGCTTTTCAGGACATACTGTGCAGGCACTGTGTACTATTGTAAACACTGTACAAGTGTTTAAGCCACTTGAATCCTCCCAACAATTCTGTGAGGTAGATAACATACTAGGCATTTTATAAAGGAAGAAAGTAGGCATGGAAAGGCCGTATAACTTGCCCAAGCTCATAAAACTTGTCAGTAGCAGATTAAGCATTCAAACCCATGAACTCTGGCTCCAAAATATGTGTTCAGGATACTCTGTAATACATTATAAAAGTAGTATTTATTTTCAAGTGTTTACAAGTAATATAATGGCAGATGAATTCATATTATCTTTCCATTTCTTTCTATGACTACAAATAATAATCTCTGAATCTTGCAATTTTTTAAAAATAAGATTTTATACCTATGCAGCTTTGGAAACCTGCTTTTAATAAACTGAAAATTTAATTTCTCTAAAGAAATTCACCAAAAAACATTCATTCATCCATTCAACTATTTATTCATGCATTCAACCGAAACTTACTGAGTATACAAGACATGTCAAAGACACTATTGGTCCACAGAAATACTTATTTTTTACATTTGAACTATACAGTCCAAAAGTAACAGTCTGCAATTATTTTTTCAGTAGTTTGATTTTCTATTACTAATTAGAAAGCTTCCCCTTCCCAGCATCTGAATAACCATAAAGGTAACACACCTGTTATTTTCGACTACCTTGGCACAGCTATTCATGATGCTACTTTCAAAGGTAGTGTGATACATACATCATCAAGGCATATTTAAATTCTATCCAATATGACCTAGTGTTTGTATGCTTATTATTATAGAATTTCTAAAAATAGATGCATGTGAGTTTAACTTTAGGTCATCATTTTCATGTACCATTGCATTAAAATATTTCATTCCTGAACCAATTCTGAAAAAACACCTCTTGTGATAAAACTAAACATGAATAGAAATTGTACTAATAGTTGATTTACTATAGATATTTAAACGTTAACTTTCCAATCCTCAGACATGAAAACAAAACTAAACTCCAAAAACACATTTCTTTTCTACTGGATCATTCTGAACAGCAAACGAGAATACTCCAACAGCTTCCATTTTAAAACTGAAAAAGAAACAAGAGTCACTTGAATCTCACATTCTTCTTCTTTTACTTGTTACCCATTTCTCTACTCCCTTTTGCAGTCAGAGTTCTCTCAAGATTTGTCTGTGCTTAGCCACTACAGTCAGGGTTCCATGGCAACCAGTTGAAACTCATCGTTTTAATCAATCTTCCAGCAGCATTGACACAGTTGAGTATTCTCTAGATTAGGCTGTCTACACTATTTTATTTCCAGAGAAAGTAATCATTGCTAATATTCCTTCACAAGGAAATAAGAAAATTAGAGATTTTATCCTCCTTCATCCTTAAGCATTTCACTAAAACAGATACCATTATTTTTCTGGAAGACTACCAGAAAAAATTATATGTGAGCATGAGAAAGACATTATGGAAGAGGAAAAAGACAAGAGGAGCTCACCAGGCCAAAACAAAACAAACAAACAAAAAAGCAGTAGGAGAAAGCCATTGTATATAGAGAATAGAATGTGAGCACAGGGATTAGGCACATGGCATCCAGTTGTTTCCTGAGAAGGTGAAAGGTTAAATGTAAAATACATGAAAGCAAACACTGAGAGAAGAATGCTACACTAAACTTGAATCCTATGCTAAAATGCTGGAGCTCACTGCCTGCAAGGCAATGACTCTTAGACATGGGGTCATAGTTGGATTTGTGCCATAGTTACTGTTTTAACGTGTTTCATTTAATTAAGTTTTCAGAATACTATGAGGCACATACAGCCTAAAAGGAACTGAAATTACCTTAAAGGGAAAAAAAACATTTGCTTTCAAAATACCTATATGTCTTTATATATAGTTCAAAAATAGCACTATTCTGATTAGTTAGAATTTTGTTTGAAAATAGAATGATTTAGAAACTTTTGTATACTTACAGTGTGGTATCTATTTCTAATATGAAAAGCTGGATTTATCAGCATAAAAGTGTAAACACGTGAATAAGAATATCACTATCATATACCTACATAAATTTACAAAAAGGCTGAAATTTCCCATGGGAGATAAATATGTTAGGAGTTGAGCCTGAGCCCCTAAAAGCACAAAAAACAAAACTAAATCCAGCAATTATTTACCAAAAAAATATGTAGATGAGTCTTCTGTTTAAGACTCAGCTTCTAAAAACTATCTTTCTGAGATCATTGATCAAACAATTTCTCTTGACCCAAACTTAAAAAATAAGTATATAATTCTGGAATATAAAATAGTGTTCATTTGAGCATAGTTGATAGAAGGCAACGTTCAAACAGAAAACATCTGATTAACATTGACACAAACTAAGGAAAACTGACCTGTAGCCACGGCAATAGGTAGCCACCCAGAACCAATTTTTAATCTAGTCAATCAATGACCACTGGCCTCACTAACACCAACCAATGAATGTCAGCCACTTGCCTATGAAGACATCCAGAGACAAACTCATTCCAATCAGCATGCCTGGAAGTGCCAACTAATCCACAACAGTCTTACACAGATAACCACATTGCTCCAGATGATGCCAACTCAGTTATGCCCATGAGAGTCAGCCAAGCCATCAACTTCACTATTCCACAAACCTTTTATAAGGCTTAGTAGATGCTCTATTACAAGAGACTGCGCCTGACCAGCACAGATTTCTTAGTAGAGAAAGCAATAAATCAAACTTTTTTTTTTGAGACAGGGTCTCACTCTGTTGCCCAGACTGGAGTGCAGTGGCAAGATCTCGTCTCACTGCAACCTCTGCCTTCCAGGCTCAAGCAATTCTTCTGCCTCAGCCTCCCAAGTAGCTGGGATTACAGGCACGCCACTACTGACAGCTAATTTTTGTATTTTTGGTATAGATGGGATTTCACCATGTTGGCCAGACTGGTCTTGAACTTCTGACCTCAAATGATCCACCTGCCCTGGCCTCCCAAAATGCTAGGATTACAGGAGTGAGCCACCGCACCTGGCCAAATCCAACTTTTATCTGTTTATTTCAGAAGCTAAAGGCTCATAATCCTTTGAAAAGAATTTTTACATCCATTGCATTTACCACGCGAATATTTTATTATTCCTAATAAAATACCAGTGAAGTTTGCAACTCCTGTCATCCCTTGTACCATGATTGAAATGATCATAATTACCAGTAATAGAATAGTGAGGGACCACAATATTGGGCTTTTCTCCCTAATTAGAAAACTATTAATATAGAGGGCATAGCTCATTAAAAAGAGCCAAAAGAGTCCATAAAGAGCATATAATTGCCAGGTAAAATTGTCAGACTGAACTCATATCAAACTGTACTTTAAGTGAGTATTAATGTTTAAAACCATACACCAGGATAAACCAGACTAGAAAGGCAAAAGCTTAAATCAGGAAAATAAGAGGTCATATCTTATGCTGCCTTTTGAGTATTAGGAGAAAATATGGCATATATTTTGAGTGAAATGGGAAGCAATTAGAAGTTTTTAACCAAAGGAGTGACATAATCTGACATGTATTAATAGGTTCACTGGGTTAAGAATTGACGAAAACAGGATTAAACATGGAGAAACAGGAAGACCAATTAGCAGTCTATTATGCTAATCTAGACGGCCAATCAGATGATAGTGGAGTGGCTTAGACACGAAAGATGTGACTGGTTTTGGGATATATTGTGAAGTTAGACCTGATAAGATCTGCTAACATCTTAGCTGTGGAGTGTCAGAAGTAGGGGTCAGGGGAGGGAGACAGAGAAAGCATGTGTGAGTCAAGGATGACAGCAGGGTTTTGGGCAGAGCATTTGCAAGAGTTGTGATTAATGGAACAACAAAAAAATACATGAGGGGCAGGTAGGAGGAAGACCATCCGTAGCTAGATTATGGACCTGATAAATTTGCTGTACCCAATAGTTAATCAAGGAGAGATGTCAAGTAGACAGGTTGATATATAGGCCTGAAATGGGCTGGAGGTATAAATTTGAAAATCATTAGCATATATAAGTTAGTAAAAGTCACAAGAAAAAAACCTCAAGAACTGAGCCCTGGGTCACTTCAATCTGTAAAAGGTAGAAGATGCGGAGATGTAAGCAAAACAGGCTAAGATGGATGGACTAGAAAGTCAGGAGGAAAATCTAGGTGAGTGAGTGGGATTCTGAGGGTCAGTGAAGAAAGTGTTATAGAGGAGAGAGTTTTCCATTGGGTCAAGTATTGCTGATAAGTTACATAAAGCGAGATCTAAAAAAAATATGTCTAGATGTATTACAGTGAAAAATCAGTGACAACCTTGAGAATAACAATTTTGGAGGGGTGGTGAGAGTGAAAATTATGGCAGTGAGTTCAAGAGTGAATGGAAAGGAAACTTGAGTCCATGAGTACAGACAGGTTCATTTTAAGGACATTTTCAATCATTTCATAATGATTAATGATTAGTTACATAGTATGTTTTAATATCTTAAAAGCTTTTAAAAATTATAGACACACAAACATACACACACACAAATGCACACACACACACACATATATATATATGTCAAGCCAGACATATATGGCAAGTCAGACCAAAGTACTAAATAACATCATAAAATTATAGAACTAAAACACCCCTTGAACATTTCTAGATAATAAAGCTGGTTATCATTTCGGTCATGCTTATAAAGTCCACAGAAAGACTAAAGGGCAGTATTTCTTACTTGAGAAAAATCACTCAACTCTGAGATATTTTATCCTCATCAAATATATAAAATGGTTAGTCATATTAAAATAATAAATTCTATAAGATGAAAAAAGGTAAAAATTCAAATCTTATTTTGTCTATTGAATTTTATAAATTATGTAATATGAAGTCACTGTTGTAAAATACGGTGTTGTGCATACTGAAATATCTTTTGAAAGGATAATGGGATGCATTCAAAGTGCCTCAAAACAGGAGGTTCACTGCATTAGCAGCACCCTGGTTTTGGCATAGGAGTCAGCAAATCAGTACTTGTGGGCCAAATTCAGTCCACTGCCTGTTTTTGTAAGTAAAGTTTTCTTGGAACACAGTGCTACGTATTTATTTATCTATTGTCTATGACAGATGTCGGAGACCTTTTGGTCCATGAGGCCTAAAGTAGTTACTCTTCACGGGAAAAAATTGGATGAATTCCTGACTTGGTAGATCAAAGATACTTTGATATGTTTTAACAAGTTTTACCAACACACTGAATATTTACATGGAATACAGATCCTCATGTTCAGTCCCTTGACAATATTCACATTATTGTGAGATTCAATATTTGAGCACTAATGCATTGAGAACAAGAAACAAATGTCATAACTAGAAACTTTGTTGGTAACCTAAAGTGTCAAGGTAGCATGTAGTTTCCTTTTGCAACTCAGTAGATATTACAAGTATCAAGACATTACAATATCATATTCTGACAAAATTTACTTAAGATGTGTTATCAAACTAAATGTTTTAAATATACATTACTGATGAAGTAATCAGTATACTATAGTATACTGATCCAACCTAATTTTAAAAAGAGGGTTGCATACTATGTTATTTAATGGGTATGACAATTTACTGATTTCCTTATTAATGGGATTTTAGACTATCTCCAGCTTTTTGATATGATAATGCTATAATGAAAATTCTTAACATATATAAGCATGTATCATATATAAAATTCTTAACACAGATTTATTATACTTAAGATGTTTTATATTACTAAATATTGCTATGAGCTTACCCATTATTCTCTTCACTCTTCTGCCTGGGAAATTGATGATTATCAGGTTTTCTGCTCCTTCTTTCTTGGATTAATTCATCAAGATCACTGTCACTGTAATTGGCATGTAGGTTTCTTGACACCTCCATTTTCTTATTTCTGCATGTTTTCATTTTTTCTGCAACCTTCGATGAAAGTTTGACACTGATAATAATTGCCATTATTTTGTCTAATAGAAATAACTTGTTTTCATTTATTTTATCACTTGACTCTGTCATGATAATGGTCATGAAAATATTTTGTATTTAATTTTATCACTATATAATTATTAGCATAAATTATGTTATGATTTTTTCATCAATATTCATATAAAGTCTGAATCACTTCTGAGTGAATAAAACAAAAATTTCCACACTTTCAAAAAGGGCTCATTCGAAATTTGTGCTTTTATTTCCTCCACTCTTTGCTGTCTAATATAAATTTTCGCCCCCTTGTGATGAGCAGAAATAGAGAAATAAAAGGACAAAGCCATGAAATCTGTCCTCTTCTATCCTTACCTCCTGGAGTTTACACGTAATGGCCAGATGTAGAGAATGTGGCATTGTGGGGCTTCAGGAACAGAAAGGAAGTTTTCCCCTTTCTGCAATAAGCTTTCCCCACTGTCTTTTATCTTTCGTTTTTCATTTGGATCCTAGGATATCAAAAATGTGAAGGTGCTTGCTGAAAAACAGTAATCAAAATTTGAAGCTACAGAAGAAGCAGAGTGAAACTGCTGAGATGCTAGGATAGAGTTCTGGAAAATGAGATGCTTTCCAAATTTCACATTCAGTAACCATGACATTTTATAGCTGGAGAATATACAGTGGAAGTATTTATCTACTTTAGCCCTATTATCTAAAGATTAGATAGTCATTAGATAATGACTCATCCAGAGCTCCTAAGCATTTCCTAGCATTTTATGGCACAAAAACTGATAATACTATTTTGTAATGCAGAGTCAGATAAATTATCTGATATATTCACTAAATTAATCAGAAGAATTAAAAGCATGATCCTGAGAAAGTAACTTAATGCCTCAGCAGGGGCTGAGAGGGCTCATCTACTTTTCCGTTCAAAGGTGAGTATTGCCAGATTTTTGTTTATCTTTAAAACTCAATGTACAGAAATCAGGTTTCTACTTTAGAGTCAAAAACGAAATTTGTTAACTGAGAATCTATGATACTTATATGATAAAGTTATACATGCTAATATGTATCATACTCTATTAAATAAAATCACATTAAGATCTGATTTTGACAGAAACATGTAAACTTGGTGGTTAGAAAAATAAATGGAGGTATCTATATACATTTGTTTTCAAACATATTTAAGGTGATCATGATGAAATTATAAGCCCCAACATATTGAGTTAAATGGATCAACTTGCACACATGAAAGCACAATGTACAGCATACAGATTCCTTTTACTATGAATATTTATTCCAATTCTCAAGGATAGATACATTTTTATTATCACTTCTTAGTTATTGCTTCCTTCCCATTGATTTCCCACTTTATTAAGTAAGTGCAATTCATCTTCAAGTCAATAGAAAAATGTTACATCCTTGGGCTTATTACATTCATTAAGCAATTTCCTATATGCTAACCCTAGTTCAAAAGAACCCATATCTATGGTATACAGATAGGTTAATTAGTTTCTCAATCTCTATGCCACGTGGAAAACTGATAGATGGATTTGGTTTGATTAAGGAACAAAGATTGTAGAATGTTTTTCTGAACATCTATCATTTAGATAGAGAAATAATGTATTTCTACATGCAATTATGTATTTAGAAGCCCCATTTTACACAAGAGATTTCATAAGTAAAAAATTAGAATGCACCAAATAACTGATCAAGAGAAAAAAATAAGTAGCAGCAAATGACCCTCCAAGTCTTTCTCAAGTTGAACTTTTCTTTCTTCAAAGTCAGGAACTCTAGTTGTAATATGCCTACTTCATGCTTAAATCTTCGTATATTGTGCTGCAACTATTCTTCTAGAGGTACTTTTGATGCTCTGTCACTATGTGGTGGAGAGAAATGCACATTTTCCAATCTCCTAGCCTAGCTCCCTGTTTCAGTCCCCTGTTTAATAAGATGAATGGGCAACTCTGCCTTCCCGGAGCTCCAACTGCCAGTCTAAAAGGGCAACCAGACCAGTGTATTTTGTACAGAGAACTGCCACGCTGGGGTGCTGGCAAAAGAGCTGCACTGGCCAAAACAGCCACACTGGCATGGGGCTCCTCTGCCTGGGAATCTCCTGGTCTGTGGGAAATAAAAATCCATCTGGAAATGTGGTGTCCACTCACCCTCTGTGCTTTCACCAGGAGCTGCAATTCTGAGCTGCTCCTAAATGGCCGTCCTGGATCTTCCTTGTCTGATGTCATTTTTAAGTCTTGTTCTGGTCAAAGAAAAAAAAAATCCATGTATTTCATTAAAATGAACTACTTAGAACAGTTAGGTAAAAGCTATAGTCTTTATAAACATAAATTTAAACATATATTTTTCTTTTATAAAATCAGAGTTTAAATAAACCTTGTGGTGGAATATTTGCTTCTTTTTTTATTATACTTTAAGTTGTGGGGTACACGTGCAGAACCTGCAGGTTTGTTACATAGCTGTACATGTGCCATGGTGGTTTCCTGCATCCATCACCCTGTCATCTACAGTTATTTCTCCCAGTGCTACCCCTCCCCAGTCTATCCACCCCCTGCTATCCCTTCCCTAGCCCCCAACCCTCCAAAAGGCCCCAGTGTGTGATGTTCCCCTCCCTGTGTCCATGTGTTCCCATTGTTCAACAGCCACTTATGAGAACATGCAGTGTTCTTTAGTTCTTGTGTCAGTTTGCTGAGAATGATAGTTTCCAGCTTCATCCAAGTCCCTGCAAAGGACATGAACTCATCCTTTTTTATGGCTGCATAGTATTTCATGGTGTATATGTGCCACATTTTCTTTACTCAGTCTATCATAGATGAGCAGTGGGTTGGTTCCAAGTCGTTGCTATTGCAAACAGTGCTGCAATGAACATAGCGTGCATGTGTCTTTATGATAACTACAATTTATAATTATTTGGGTATGTACCCAGTAATGGGATTGCTGGGTCAAATGGAATTTCTATTTCTAGATCCTTGAGGAATCACCACACTGTCTTTCACAATGGTTGAACTAATTTACATTCCCACCAGCAGTGTAAAAGCATTCCTATTTCTTCACATCCTCTCCTGCATCTGTCGTCTCCTGACTTTTTAACGATCGCCATTCTAACTGGCGTGAGATGGTATCTCATTATGGTTTTGATTTGTATTTCTCTACTGACCAGTGATGATGAGCTTTTTTTCATGTTTGTTGGCCGCATAAATGTCTTTTGAAAAGTGTCTGTTCATATCCTTTGACCACTTTTTAATGTTTTTTTTTCCTTGTAAATTGGTTCAAGTTCTTTGTAGATTCTGGATATTAGCCCTTTGTCAGATCAGTAGATTGCAAAAATTTTTTTCTTATTCTGTTGGTTGCCAATTCACTCTAATGATAGTTTTTTTTTTTTTCTGTGCAGAAGCTCTTAAGTTTAATCAGATCCCATTTGCCAATTTTGGCTTTAGTTGCCCTTGCTTTTGGTGTTTTAGTAATAAAGCCCTTGCCCATGCCTATGTCCTGAATGGTATTGCCTAGGTTTTCTTTGAGGGATTTTATGGTGTTAGGTCTCATGTTTACATTTTAACCCATCTCGAGTTAATTTTTGTATAAGTTGTAAGGAAGAGATCCAGTTTCAGCTTTCTGCCTATGGGTAGCCAGTTTTCCCAACACTATTTATTAAATAGGGAATCCTTTCCCATTGTTTTTGTCAGGCTTGTCAAAAATTAGATGGCTATAGATGTGTGGCCTTATTTCTGAGGCCTCTGTTCTGTCCCATTGGTCTGTATCTCTGTTCTGGTACCAGTACCATGCTGTTTTGATTACTGCAGACTTGTATTATACTTGTATAGTTTAAAGTCAGGTAGCGTGATGCCTCCAGTTTTTTTTTTTTCCCCCCTTAGGATGTCTTGGCTATGTAGGTTCTTTTTTGGTTCCATACGAAGCTTAAGGTGATTTTTTTCCAATTCTGTGAAAAAGTCAATGGTAGCTTGTTGGGGATAGCACTGAATCTATAAATTACTTTGGGCAGTATGGTCATTTTCACAATATTGATTCTTCCTAACCATGAGCATTGAATGTTTTTCCATCTGTTTGTGATCTCTTATTTCCTTGAGCAGTGGTTTGTAGTTTTTCTTGAAGAGGTTCTTCACGTACCTTGTTAGTTGTATTCCTTGGTATTTTATTCTCTTTGTAGCAATTGTGAATGGGAATTCACTCATGATTTGGTTCTCTGTTTGTCTGTTACTGGTGTATAGGAATGCTTGTGATTTTTGCACATTGGTTTTGTATCTGGAGACTTTGCTGAAGTTGCTTTTCAGCTTAAGGAGACTTTGGGCTGAGATTATAGGGTCTTGTAAATATACAATAATAGAGACAAGTTGATTTCCTCTTTTCCTCATGGAATGCCATTTATTTCTTTTTCTTGCCCGATTGCCTTGGCCAGAACTTCTAATACTATGTTGAATAGGAGTGTTGAGAGAGGGCATCCTTGTCTTGTGCCAGTTTTCAAAGAGAATGCTTCCAGTTTTTGCCCAATCAGTATATTGGCTGTGGGCTGCTTCTTTAAGAAAGACTTCTTATTCTCTAAAACTTCAATAAACCACTTGGCAAGGCACTAGATGCCACCAGATTCAAGCCATATAATCATCTCATAGATTTACTGACAATTTCATCCATTCAACATCAACAAACAAAACTATCAGAAACATGCACTTGAGAGAAGTCAATTCAGATGGCTTCAGTATGTTTGCACTCAGGACATTAGATTATCACTGCCCTTGAAATTACTGGAAGGAGGAGGGAGTGCAAGAATTGGGGTAAACCACAGCAACCCATTGCTCCACTTTATATCACACATCAAAGATATAGGTTAAATTTATGTTAGGTAATCAAATGGAATTCATTTGAACTAAAGAACTTTCACTGTTTTGGTTAAGAAAGCTATGTTTTGATTAGACACCTATTCCATAAAAGTACTTTAAAGACTAGCATTGTATATCCAATCACAGTAATTTGAAAAACAAAAAGTATAGGATTTATTCCTTGAATAACAAAACTAAGGTTTTCAATAAACATTGTACTGATTTTGAAATATAAAAGTTTATTATAATGAATGTGAAAATTTTATTTTTGCAATATTTACATATTGAAAACTGCTTATACATTATTTTGTGATGTGTTTAATATACCATCTTCTATGAGTGGGTCAAGAAACTTTAAGACAAGGCCAAACTACAGGATGCAAGAAAGAAGAACAGAAAACCAAACACTGCATGTTCTCATTCATAAGTGGGTGTTGGACAATGAGAAGACATGTACACAAGAAGGGGAACATCACACACTGAGGCCTGTTGCGGGGTTGCGGGATAGGGGAGGGATAACAGGGGTTGGGAGATTGGGGGAGGGATAGCATTAGGAGAAATTCCTAATGTAGATGATGGGTTGATGGGTGCAGTAAACCACCATGGCACATGTATATCTATGTCATAAACCTCTTCTCTCCTTTCTTCTTATTTCCTGACTTTCCTCAGATCTTAGAGTATCTTCAACTGGAGCTATTAATTAAACTCCTTTAGCGGCATTCTCAATATACTCTCTTGTAGATGTATGTTAATATAGAAAACGTATTATCACCTTTTCACTTTTCCAACTGTACATTTAGTAAGTGATCTTCCTTTGCTTGTTATACTATATCAGTGATGGTGTTTTCAAGTAAACATTATGTTAAATGTTTTTAAAAATAAAATATATTTATTACCATCTACATTTCCATTTACTGCATTTTTCCTCTGCTGATCAACAGGCCGAGATGAACTACCACCATGCATCTGGAGAATATTCTTTGAGATACTCTGTTAAAATTAATATCAACAATGAGTTTCAATACAAAATAACAATAATTAGTTGCACAAAGATTTCCTAATCATTTATTTTAAAAATCTAAATTTCCTATATTTAAAGCAATTAGACTTAAAAATAAGAGAAGCAGGTCTTGAAAACCAAACTTTTCTTTTCTTTTCTCCTGAGAGCCCAGGCTGGAGTGCAATGGCATGATCTCAGCTCACTGCAATCTCCACCTCCCGGGTTCAAGCAATTCTCCTGCCTCAGCTTCCTGAGGAGCTGGGATTACAGGCTCATGCCACTGTGCTCAGCTAATTTTTGTATTTTTAGTAGAGATGGAGTTTTCATCATGTTGGCTAGACTGGTCTCGAACTTCTGACTTTAGGTGATCCATCTGCACTGACCTCCCAAGTGCTGGGATTACAGGCATGAGCCACTGTGACCAGTCTGGAAATCAAAACGTTTCAATAGAGAACCTCACATATGCTTTTTAGATGGAGCTTATCTTTTATCTTCATTATGCTATTGACTTGTAAAACTAAGTATGGAAGGCAAAAGGGAACCTATTTACAGGCAAAGTATTAACTTATGTGCATATTTCAACAAGACACTCACTTCAAAAGACCTAACTCTAATTTGCAATCGCCATCAAAAGTAAGAGGGCATTATGAAAATACAATACATTTGCTATATTACAGCATTTAACATTTAAAATATTCCCAATTATAGAATTTTTTATTAAAAGAAGATAATTGGCATAAGAAACTTTGGAGTATTCCAGGTTGTGTATGAACAGAACACTGATGAAGCTGCTTCATTTAGGCAAACAAGGGCCTGGAAAAATTAAAGTATTTCTTGATAAAATTTTTACTGATATAAAAATGGTTGAATAAAATGGCAAAGTACTAAGGAAAACCTTTGTTTATGGTATGTTTAAATAAAAGCAAGTGAATATTAGATATACTCTGCCACTCTTTGCCATTTAAGAAATAACTTAAAAAACTAGAGCAAGCCTTAATAAAAGGGAAGCATAAGAACATTTATTCACAAAGCATCTAAAATATTCCAGATTCTCATTTGCACATTTTCTTTCCTACACATTAAAAATGATGATGATGATAGTTACCCCACTTCCTGCTTCCTGATCATTTGAGGATGTTAAAAGCAAAATGATTAACAATTGTTACTCATTTTTCTCTGTCCAGAATATCCTCCTTTTAGATTTTCACATGGCTTGCTTCTTCTCAGCCTCTAGCTGGCAGCTTAAATGGCACCCAGAAAGATCTTCTCTGACTACACAATTCTACTCCTCCCATCCCAATCCTAACTACAAACTTCCTCAATTTTCTATAATGGAACATTTTCTGTTTTCTTTATAAAAAGCACTTGTAGTGACTTACATGTTTGTTGTTTGTTTTTGTGTTCCTACTACCCTAGGATAAGCCCTCATCTTGTGTATTCAGTGTATTACTGCCTAGTACACAGTACACAATGACAGAAATTTATTCAAGGTCAAAATACTTAAAATCTTATCAGGAGGTCTTGGGTGTCAAATCACTCCATTCCCATAGAATAATACCAGTATTATACCACTAAAACTTTACTTCAAACAGGAAATCCACATACCTATGCTATACCTTCTCATTGTTCTCTTGACAGTAGTGACTACTTGACAGTATTGACTACAGGTTAAAAAAAAGACTCACAGTATGTATTAAGGCACTGAATCTCACTGTGATTCATTTTGCCTCATATTTGTATGTACAGATTCCAGTTTACAAAATATTTTCACATTTCTTACCACATCTGTACATTATGCATATCTATGAGATGGATATTAATACTGTCTTTATAAAAAAGGTCACTGACATTCAAATAAGTTAAATAAATTTTCCCAAGATTCCATAGCTAATAAGTGACAGGACCACGATACTAACATATCTTTTGACTTCCATTCAGTGCTGGTACCACTATGTATCAGCTGCTTCTACCTAAGAGGTCAGGCCATTCCCATCTCTTCACAGTTGTTGCCTTGAAATATATCATTATTATTTTTTACTTATGTTACTACAAGCATGACGATAAGCCACAAAGAAACTCACTGCATTCTATTATTAAAAAGAACTAAAACACTATTAAACCGAATTGTTGTTTTCATACTTCCACACATATATTATTTCACATGCTTTTCCTTCTCAGAAAATGTTCTTTGCAGATTTACACTAAAGAAACTCACTGCATTCTATTATTAAAAAGAACTAAAACACTATTAAACCGAATTGTTGTTTTCATACTTCCACACATATATTATTTCACATGCTTTTCCTTCTCAGAAAATGTTCTTTGCAGATTTACACTAATGATCCAAACATATCAATACCTTCAAGTCCTAGGCATTATCTTTTCAAGCTCCAAGTTGTAAAAAAAAAAAAAAAAAAAAACCCTACAGTTTAAACTCTTTATCTCTGCATCTTATTGGGATATTTACACATTCGGATATAACATAGAATCATACATTTGCTCCTAGGTTGACCTATAATAATTCTTTAGTGTTTAGACAAACTTAGCTTCAGAACCCAAAGTGATTCCATGTATTTTGCACTACACTACACTGGCTTCTTAAATGAATTTCTTAACCAAATTTCTATTGTGCGGATAAACAAAGGTAGACAATTGCTAAATTTCTACTAAATTTTAAGAGTAAATACTATGTAAAACTAGATTCAGAGTGAGAATATCAATTTCACAAGACCACTTTACCTTGGATTTAAAATTGAAGTCACCATCCTGTGAAGTATGCCATAAAGAAGTATCCCGTCTGCAGGAAAGCCTTAAGAGCAAAAGTATACAAAAAAAAAAAAAAAAAAAAAGCACGTTCATTTCTAACAAAAACAAACAAAACAAAACAAAAAAACTCCCAGTCTATATCTGTATGTCCCTCTAAAAAACAAAAAAAGAAAAACAAAATCTAGGAAAAGATCAGCTATCAGTATATCAAATAATATATATTCTGATGTAATTAAAATACGACCTTTGTTTTACAAAATATTTGTTATCTATTTCTTCCTTCAGCTCTCCAAACCTATGTGATATCCAATGCCTACTCAGTCTTACTGCCATACCAAATAGTGTCAGCCAATATACTGGCAGAGACCCACAGTAGTTTGTCCTGAAGGTTGAACTAAAAGTTCCATTAACCCATTTATGCCTGAAGTTGCAATTTTTTGAATTTGAAAAGTCAGACCTTGGTAATGACCTTGAGTGGTAGGATATAAATAACTCCCACATGCTTAGCATTCCAATAACGGAATACTAGGCATAAATGGGTTTAGCTAACATAACTGAGTGCTTGATAGTTGTATCTCTATTTCTCTGAGTACTATATCTGAATATCTTCCTTCCTGTGGGCTCCCACTTCCAGATCCTTCTTCTGCAGGGCTCCATGGCAGTCTCCAGATTTTAAAAGTTCAGCGTAGGAAGGCACAGATTCCTAAAAGGATGAGCTCAAATAATCAAGAGTAGGAGCTCTGTTTCCCTGTTCCTGGAAAGTAAGCTAAATGGAGTTTCAATCATTCACCTCCAGGATAGGCATATGACCAACTACCCACATGAAGCTCATGGCTGATTTGCCAGCTAATCCTACTCTTGCCTTAAGCCTACATAGATATTAGAAGAACATCAGCAATTGGAAAAAGAGGAAGAGAAAAGGGGAGACCTGGCCTGGGTCACAGATCTATGCAGTTCAGCAACCTCCAGTACCCTACCATTTGACAGGCTCTAAGCTACACCTCTGTGAGTTGGAGTGGAACATGATACACATTTCTATCTGCTCTATGACTCTTCCCAGTGGCTCAAATTCTCTTAACATCTTTCAAAAAAAACAAAAACAAAAACAAAAAAACCCCTGATGTCTGCCAGTTTCTCTAGAGAAACAAAACAGCAGCAACCTGTTTAGGACTTTCTTAAGCCCCCTACTTTGTCTTTCTTGCTAACTCCCAACATCCTGTGCTTTTCTAATTTATCCTTATCACAAAGCCCAATATTCTGATCTCTTTTCTAAAACCCCTACTGTTATCTAATTCAGTGTCTTTGGCCTCCCTCTGCTAGTTCCACTCTTATCCACTTCCATTAAGGTTCACCAGCTCATTCCATTCTTACCATCTTCCATTGGGATCACTAGACCCACTCTCCCTTTTCTATTATTAAAAAACTGACTGACAGGATGGTATACAAGAGGAGTAGGCTTTGAACTAAGGAATTTGAGTTCAAATCTCATTTATGCTACAAAGTGTTCCTAAAGAAATCATTTACTATCTTTGAGTTTCAGGGTCTTCACCTGAACAACCCCTTGTCTGGGATGTTAAACACAGATTGAAGTACTAGATATTTTGTTTAGTCTCTAAGATCTCTTAAAATTCTGAAATTCTATGTGCTTTTGATTGATTCTGTATATTGAAAAATGGAGAATATTTAGCTGGCATGAACACAGTAATAGAAAAAAAAACCACCAAGAAAAGCAGAGAAGAAACAAACAAACAAGAAAAAAATCAAGAAAAGAATACAGAAAACTCACAGGGAAAAAAAGGAATTCGGAGAAAAAGAAAAAGCTTCATGCAACTAAACAAGGTACTTTCCTAGAGGGAAAACCAAACAAGAAAGTCAGAAAGTAGAGAAATCAATTCACATTTCTTTTGAATGTGAGCAAAATATAATTAACATAACATGGTCTATATGCAGGCCACTTAGAGCAAAATATTTATCTCCAGGACTTGGCTGATGTTGCTTATGGAAAACAACCTAGGGTCCTGTAGCCCAGCTAAGTGAGATCTGTCTTAAAAACCTTGATAGTTAAAATAAGGTGCTGGTTACCACTGCAATTATCAGGTATGTTAGGACAAAGTTCTGAACTAACCAAGTTTCTAAGGAGAGTATTGACATAAAACAAAATGTAACTTTCTGAACTGATCTGATTTGGACCTGGACCTTGATAACATTGCTGCACAGGTCTTAAGAGAAGTGATCTGGGGGCCAGTCAGGCTCATGGTCAAACCATGAGTTGGCTACTTGTTAATTACAAGATCATGGGCGAATTATCCAACCTCTCTAAATCGTGGATACCTAATTATTAAAAAAGCAGGTGATAACAGCACAGCTACTTGCAAAGCTATATGAGAACTACAGGAGATGATATGTGAAGCACATAAGCACAGTGTTAAACACCCAACAGTTATTAGTTTCTTTTCTCTGCAGTCCCTTAGATTACATAACATTTTTCAAAATCTGTAAAATCCTACCTGTTCATGCAGTCTTCAGTGGTAGCAGCATGCACTATTAAAATAAAAGAGATATATTTTAAATCAACAATAGGAAAACATAAAACATTAGAATCATAAGGGAGCATGGTAGCACATGGCTGTAATTCCAGATACTACTCAAGAGGCTGAGGTGGGAGGATCACTTTAGCCCAGGAGTTCAAGACCAGCCTGGGTAACAGAGCAAAACTCTACCTTCATTTAAAAACTACTGAAAGATGGCCGATTAGACACAACTCCAGTGCACAACACCCAGCGAGAGAGATGCAGAAATCTAGAGATCTCCTAGCCCCAACCGAGGTACCAGGTGCATTTTAATGGATCTGGTCTGATGGTGAGCAAAGCCCACTGAGGGCAGACCAAGGCAGGGAGGGGTGCTGCTTCACCCGGAAAGTGCATCTGACCGGCGAGTGGGAGGCTCTCCCTCTGGTACTCCAGTCCAGATACAGCGCTTCCCCCAAAGCCTCAGCAATACACAGAACAGGGAATCTTTGCCAGTCAAGTGCCGGGAATTACAAGCATGGAGTTGAATAAGAGCCTGCAGACTGAGCTATCGCCCCCTCCCACCACCCAGAGAGAGAGGGAGCTGTAAGCAGGAGCAGCTGGGCGGGCCCCTACCCCATGACAGGAGAGAATGGAAGCTGAAAGGGGGAGACTGCTCGGTGCAGCTGGGCAGGTCCCTACCCTCCCCACAAATCCCAGAGGGCTGAAGCTCTGACTCCAGTGGGTTGCGCAGCCACTGCCATAATCTGAGATGAACCCTGAATGATCCAGCCCAGTGGAAGAAGGGCACAACCCACCACTAGAGAGGTGGGACTGGGCTACATGTCTTAACAAAAAACACAGGAAGCCTATGTAGCAACAGGACGGCATTCTTGACAACCCAGGAGCACCTACAGGTCAGTGGAAGAGGCAGGCCTAATCTCCCAGTATAAACAAAAAAAAAAACCACAGGAAGCTTTCCTAGTAACCTGAAGGAGTCCCTAGAAACCCAATAGCGCCTTCACAGGCAGACAAGCTACCTCATCAAGCAGCTCCCTGACACCACAGCCAGGTAAATCTACAAAGATGGGGAAAAAAAACAGTGCCAAAAAGATGAAACCATCAAAGACCAGAACCCCTCTTCTCCTTCAAGGCATCACAAATCCTAAACAACACAGGATCACAACTTGACCAAGGAGTGTGACGAGTTGACAGAAACAGGCTTCAGAAAGTGGATAATAACAAACTTTTCTGAGCTAAAGGAACACATTCTAACTCAATGCAAAGAAACCAAAAACCTCGAAAAAAGGTTAGAAGAAATGCTAACTAGAATAACCAACTTAGAAAAAAATATAAACAACTTGATAAAGTTGAAAAACACAGCACAAGAACTATCTGAAGCAAACGCAAGTTTTAATAGCCGAATTGATCAAGCAGCAGAAACAATATCAGAGGTTGAAAATCAACTCAATGGGAGGACTCAAGATGGCGCTGTGAGAACAACCCAGGATTGGAGCTCTTCTCGTTGAATCCGCAAACGAGACCCAAAGGAAAAGTCAGCAACTACGCAGACGACCAGCGGACAAATCCACAAAGATGGGAAGAAACCAGCGCAAAAAGGAGGAAAACACCCGAAACCAGAACACCTCGCCTCCTAGAAAGGACCAAAACTCCTCACCAGCAAGGGAGCAAAGCTGGACGGAGAATGACTGTGACGAAATGACGGAATTAGACTTCAGAAGATGGATAATGAGAAACTTTTGTGAGCTAAAAGATCATGTATTAAATCAATGCAAAGAAACTAAGAACCTTGAAAAACGATTTGAAAAAAGATTCGAGGAAATGATAACAAGAATGGATACCTTAGAGAGGAATATGAACGAATTAAAGGAGCTGAAAAACACAATACGAGAACTTCGCGAAGCAAACACAAGTTTCAATAGCCGAATTGACCAAGCAGAAGAAAGAATATCTGAAGTCGAAGACCAACTCAATGAAATAAAACGAGAAACCAAGATCAGAGAAAAAAGCACAAAAAGGAATGAACAAAGTCTCCAAGAAATGTGGGACTATGTGAAAAGACCTAACCTACGTTTGATAGGTGTACCAGAAGGGGACGAAGAGAATGAATCCCAGCTGGAAAATACTCTTCAGGACATCATCCAGGAAAATTTCCCCCACCTAGCAAGACAAGCCAACACTCAATTGCAGGAAATACAGAGAACACCACAAAGATATTCCGCAAGAAGAGCAACCCCAAGGCACATAATCGTCAGATTCAACAGGGTTGAAATAAAGGAGAGAATACTAAGGGCAGCCAGAGAGAAAGGTCGGGTCACCCACAAAGGGAAGCCCATCAGACTCACAGCAGATCTCTCGGCAGAAACACTACAAGCCAGAAGAGAGTGGGGGCCAATATTCAACATTCTTAAAGAAAAGAACTTTCAACCCAGAATTTCATATCCAGCCAAACTGAGCTTCAGAAGTGAAGGAAGAATAAAATCCTTTGCGAACAAGCAAGTACTCAGAGATTTTGTCACCACCAGGCCTGCTTTACAAGAGCTCCTAAAAGAGGCACTACACATAGAAAGGATCAATCAGTACCAGCCATTCCAAAATCACACTGAATGCTAAAGAGCTTCAACATAATGAAGAATCTACAACAACTAACAGGCAAAACAGCCACTTAGCATCAAAATGGCAGTATCAAATTCACACATAACAATATTAACCCTAAATGTAAATGGACTAAATGCACCAATCAAAACACACAGACTGGCAAATTGGATAAAAAGCCAAAACCCATCAGTGTGCTGTATCCAGGAAACCCATCTCACATGCAAGGATACACAAAGGCTCAAAATAAAGGGATGGAGGAAGATTTACCAAGCTAATGGAAAGCAAAAAAAAGCAGGAGTTGCAATTCTCATCTCTGATAAAATAGACTTTAAAGCAACAAAGATCAAAAGAGACAAAGAAGGCCATTACATAATGCTAAAAGGATCGATACAACAAGAAGAGCTAACGATCCTAAACATATATGGATCCAACACAGGAGCACCCAGATACATAAGGCAAGTTCTTAATGACTTACAAAAGGACTTAGACTCCCACACAATAATAGTGGGAGACTTTAACACTCCACTGTCAATACTAGATAGATCAACCAGACAGAAAATCAACAAGGATATCCAGGGCTTGAACTCAGACCTGGAGCAAGCAAACCTGGTGGACATTTGCAGAACTCTCCACCCCAAATCCACAGAATACACATTCTTCTCAGCACCACATCACACCTACTCTAAAATTGACCACATAATTGGAAGTAAAGCACTGCTCAACAAATGCAAAACAACTGAAATCATAACAAACAGCCTCTCAGACCATAGTGCAATCAAGTTAGAACTCAGAATTCAGAAACCGACCCAGAACCGCACAGCTTCATGGAAACTGAACAACTGGCTCTTGAATGTTGACTGGGTAAACAACGAAATGAAGGCAGAAATAAAGAAGTTCTTCGAAACCAATGAGAATGAAGACACAACGTGCCAGAACCTCTGGGACACATTTAAAGCAGTCTCTAGAGGAAAGTATATAGCAATAAGTGCCCATATGAGGAGAATGGAGAGATCCAAAATTGACACCCTATCGTCAAAATTGAAAGAGCTAGAGGAGCAAGATCAAAAAAACTCAAAACCCAGCAGAAGACAAGAAATTACTAAGATCAGAGCTGAGCTGAAGGAGATTGAGACACGAAAACCCTTCAAAAAATCAATAAATCCAAGAGCTGGTTTTTTGAAAAGATCTACAAAATAGACAGACCACTAGCCAGATTGATTAAAAATAAAAGAGCGAACAACCAAATAGAGGCAATAAAAAATGATAAAGGGGAAATCACCACAGATTCCACAGAAATTCAAACCATCATCAGAGAATATTACAAACAACTATATGCGCATAAACTAGTAAACCTGGAAGAAATGGATAAATTCCTGGACTCCTGTGTCCTCCCAAGCCTAAACCAGGAGGAAGCTGAAACTATGAATAGACCAATAACAAGGTCTGAAGTCGAGGCAGCAATTAAGAGCCTACCTCAAAAAAAAAGCCCAGGTCCAGACGGGTTCACAGCCGAATTCTACCAGACACACAAGGAGGAGCTGGTACCATTCCTTCTAAAACTATTTCAAACAATCCAAAAAGAGGGAATCCTTCCCAAATCATTTTATGAGACCAACATCATCCTGATACCAAAACCCGGCAGAGACCCAACGAGAAAAGAAAACTTCAGGCCAATATCCATGATGAACATAGATGCAAAAATCTTCAATAAAATATTGGCAAGCCGATTGCAACAGCAAATCAAAAAACTTATTCATCATGATCAAGTAGGATTCATCCCGGGGATGCAAGGCTGGTTCAACATACGCAAGTCTATCAACATAATTCACCACATAAACAGAACCAAAAACAAAAACCACATGATTATCTCAATTGACGCAGAGAAGGCATTTGACAAAATTCAACAGCCCTTTATGCTAAAAACCCTCAATAAACTCGGTATCGACGGAACGTATCTCAAAGTAATAAAAGCTATTTATGACAAACCAACAGCCAATATCATACTGAATGGGCAAAAACTGGAAGCATTCCCTTTGAAATCTGGTACTAGACAAGGATGCCCTCTCTCACCACTCCTATTCAATATAGTACTGGAAGTTCTAGCCAGAGCAATCAGGCAAGAAAAAGAAATAAAGTGTATTCAAATAGGAAAGGTGGAAGCCAAATTGTCTCTATTTGCAGACGACATGATAGTATACCTAGAAGACCCCATCGCCTCAGCCCAAAAACTCCTGAAACTGATAAACAACTTCAGCAAAGTCTCAGGATATAAAATCAATGTGCAAAAATCACAAGCATTCGTCTACACCAATAACAGACATAAAGAAAGCCAAATCAAGAGCGAACTGCCATTCGCAATTGCTACAAAAAGAATAAAATACCTTGGAATACAACTCACAAGGAACGTAAGGGACC